CCTAGTGCAGAGCGTTGGCTCCATGCTGTTGCATTTGGAACCCTCCCAGTGTGGCTGACGAGACATTTTCTGGCCACATGGACAGTTTAGGATGTGACCCAGTTGCAGTAAACAGGGATGAATGACAAATGGCATTTTGCAGCTGAGTTCTCTGTCCTGTTCCCTGTCTGTTTGGTTACAGTTTGATTAAAGCTTTTGCTGTTTCCTGAAGTACTTTGGTCTGGAGCATGGGGATTTGGATTTGGAGCAGAGGGAGGCAGAAGTCATAGAATCACAGAATCATTTAGGCTGGAAAAGACCTTTATGGTCATGGAGTCCAGCCATAAACCTAATACTGCCAAATCCACCACTAAACCATGTCCCTAAGTGCCACATCTGCACATCTTTTAAATACCTCCAGGCATGGTGACTCAACCACTTCCCTGGGCAGCCTGTTCCAATGCTTGATAACCCTTTCAGTGAATAGATTTCTCCCAGCATCCTCTCTAAACCTCCCCTGGCACAACTTGAGGATGTGTCCTCTCATCCTAATTGTCACAGTCCTTCTGCCTGCTCCTTCACATGCTTTTGCACATTGGCCTTTGGGGCCCCAGTGGTAGGCCCAGGCGGTGCTGGTTCTGCTGTCCTTCACTTTAAGGGGAGGCAAGGGCAGAAATGCTGATGCTAATGCTGAGAGTGTAGCTAAAATGACTTCTGGTTTTGTTTCTGCCTTGTTAATAATCTCTTCCTCTCCATCCCTCCCTGTTGCAGGTGGAAGAGAGGAAGTAAGGGTAGGGTGGAGGGGGGATTGCATATCCGTTACCAGGTGATTCCACTGGCAGAGCTGAGCAGGTCACAGCCAGCATGGCCTTTGCATCCTGGGTTGGTGACCGTTGGGTTAGCCAGCCCCATCTACCAGAGGAAGTAGAAGTGAGGACTTGGCAGGGAAGTGGGGTCGAGAAGCAGACTTGAAACTCTCTTTACCTGGGCAGTTCTTGTCCTTATCGTCTGCATCTGCCTCCAGAGCTGCATTGTACCAATTCCCCTCCCACTACCCATCCATTCTACTGTGCTGCAGTACCATGAAAAATGAGCCAGGCTCTCTGGAGGGGCAGGTGGTTGATTTCAAAAGGCAGCAACTGCTGGTTCAATAGCCTGGGAGACTGAGGCCTCGTGATAGGAACTGATGACAGCATTGGGATTGTGTTTGGTTTTGGGGAAGGACAGGTTATGTAGCAGGAGACAAATCTCTCATCATGAGAGAAAACCCTCATCAGGGCAGCAGTTGCACACAATGTCTGCTGACAGAGCTTCAGGAATATTCATAAAGAGCATTCCTATTTCCTCATCCTAGGGGGTTTTGTGTATATGTCTGATGTCCAGAATGACCTGAAATTCTAGAAGATGATAGATAAGGTGTCTAATGCTGTTCCCAGAGTTTGTTGTGCACCACCATGAAGCTATGACATTTGTATGTCAAATGCTGGATGTGCTTCCAAGTGGCAAGCACAACTTACATGGACAGAACTGAGGATCAGTCTTGGTTTGAGATATACAGAAATGAGAGACTTGTCCTTATTTTGTATTTGAAAGAGAGGGATCCAAAGAGGGGCGTTAGTTCCTGATGTGGGATCTGGAGGCCTGTGACAATACGGAGAAGCCAGGAGACTGTTCCAGAAATGGCCAAAAGGCAAAATTGAAGCATGCTACCCTGAGGTGAAGGAAGGAGAGTTCTACTCTGCCGTAGTGCTGTCCTGAGGCTCGTGGTCTGCTGCCTTGCCCATCAATGTCTTTTTCTTCTTTTCTCCCCTTCAGATCACAATGGTTGTCTTGGGAGAGCAGGCTCCGATGGGAGCAAGACTGCCCAAGACGCCCAACTGCCTGCTAAAACTGACCATGGTGCTGCTGAGCCACAGGCTTGGGGCTCTGTTTCTCCTCATCATTTCATTTGTGTTCTTTGTCTCTGTCACGTTGTATTGGAGAACTGGGGATGATGCTGAAGACCAGCTCTACAGCTTGCCTACACAAAGCAGGTGTGACCAGTTTTTACCTTACCTTCCTGGCACCATTGCACGTGGGCCCCCTCCTCCGCCAGGGGACGTGTTTTTTGTGGAGACCTCGGAGCGAACTAACCCAAGTTACCTGTTCATGTGCTCTGTGGAGTCAGCAGCCAGGACACACCCTGGGACAGGGGTCGTGGTGCTCATGAAAGGTTTGACAAACAGAAACGCCTCATTCCCCAGCCACTGGGGCTTCTCATTGCTGAGCTGCCTCCCCAATGTGGAAATCTGGCCCCTGGACTTGTCAGAGCTTTTCTCAGGGACACCCCTGGCAAAGTGGTACTTGCAGTCTGAGCACCAGAAGGAGCCTTATTTCTTACCCGTCCTGTCTGATGCCTGCAGAATTACTATCATGTGGAAATTTGGTGGCATCTACCTGGACACAGACTTCATTGTGCTCAGGAACTTGAAGAACCTCACCAATGCCCTCGGTATGCAGTCTCAGGATGTACTGAACGGGGCCTTTCTGTCCTTCAAACCCAAGCACGAGTTCATGGAGCTTTGCATGAAGGACTTTGTGGATAACTACAACGGCTGGATCTGGGCATACCAGGGCCCAGGACTCTTAACACGTGTCTTCAAGAGGTGGTGCTCCATCAGTAATATCCAGAACAGCATGAGCTGCAAAGGTGTGAGTGCTCTTTCCCCAGAAGCCTTTTATCCTATCCGCTGGGAGGACTGGAAGAAGTTATTTGAAGTAATCGACTCCTCGGAGCTCCACAAGCTCCTTAAGAACACCTACGCGGTGCACGTATGGAACAAACTGAGCCACGGGACGAGGCTAGAGATCACGTCCCAGGCTTTGCTGGCTCAGCTGTATTCTCAGTTCTGCCCTGCCACATATGCAAAGATGAAGAAGGACTCTGGAGAGCAGTCAAGGCCTGCAGTGTGACCTGTGGGCCCTTGGCAGCAGGCAGGTTCCCCAACCTGAAGGAAACTGAGTGCCTTTCACCTGCCACAGACTTGGTTTCTAGCCCATGGAGCAGGTATTCTGTGTGACAGCTCAGTGATTTTGTACCATTTCCGATATCTGCCTCAGAACCTACGTGCTTCAACTATACACCAGAAAGTGAGGTGTGACTGTCTTCTTGTCCTTCACTGGCCCTTGATGCTGCAGGGAAGGGTGAACTTGTTCATCGGTGCCTATCAGTTGCTCCTCTATCATCGTTCTCTCAATTGTATCAGGCCTGAAAAGCCTCGTGTGTAGTTTCACTAGCTGTAGGAACCCTTGGCTTGCTCTCTGTAATGTTTCTAAGTATGTAAATAAATGCCAGACAGTGCTACAGGGCACAGTTTAGAGGAGCTTAGGACCAAATTCCCCAAGTACTAAAGATTCTTAC